GGGACTATAATGTAATATTATGAACAACATGATGCCAACAAATTAGATAACATGGATGAAATGGACAAAATCCTAAAAAGGTGATAGATGTGTTAATTAACTTGACTGTGGAAATGATTTTACAATGGATATGTAAATTAAATCATCACATTGTACACTTAAATATATATAATTTTATTTGTCAATTGTACCTCAATAAAGCTGAGAAAAAAAGGAAAACAATTCCATTTACAAAAGCAGAAAAAAGAATAAAATATTTAGGAATAATTTTAACAAAGAAGGGTAAAGCTTGCACATAACATTGAAAGAGATTGAAGATGATCTAAGTAAATGGAAAGGCACCATATATTCATGGGTTGGAAGAATTAATATTGTGAAGATGAAAATGTTCTCAAAATTGGTCTACAAAGCCCATGAAATCCCTATCAAAAATCCCAGCTTGGCTTTTTTTTTTTTTTTTTTTTTTGCAAAAATGGACAAGCTGATCCTAAAATTCATATGGAAATATGAGGGACCTTGAATAGCCAAATCATCTTGAAAAAGAATAAAGTTGGGAGCTCCCACTTCCTATTTTTCAAAACATACTTACTACAAAGTTACGGTGATCTGAACCATGGTAATGTCATAAGTACAGATACACAGATCAATGGAATAAAGTTGCAAGTGCAGAAATTTATGGTCTATAAATTTTCAACAAAAGTGCCAAGATAATTGAATTCAACAAATGGTGCTGGGACAACTGGATATCCACAAGTAAAAGAATTAAGTTAGATTCCATATCACACCATGCACAAAAATTACCCCCAAACTGATAATTCTAAATTTAAGAACCCAAACTATAAAACTCTTAGAAGAAAATGCAGGAATAAACCATGACCTTTGGTTAGGCAATGGCCTTTTAGATTTGGCCACAAAAGAATAAGCAATAAAAGAAAAGAAATAGATAAATCGGACTTCACCAAAATTAAGTCTTTTGTGTTTCAAAGGACAGTTCCAAGAAAGTGAAAAGGCAAGCCACAGAATGGGAGAAAATATTTGTAAATCATTTATCTGATAAGGATCTAGTATCCGGAATGTATAAGAAACTCTTATAACTCAAAACTGAAAGACAACCTATTTTAAAAAAGGCAAAGCATTTGAATAGGCATGTCTCAAAGAAGATACACAAATGATCAATAATGACATGAAAAGATGCTCAACCCCGTGAGTCATTAGGGAAATGCATATCAAAACATAATGAATGGATGACTATAATAAAAAAGACAGACAATAACAAATGTTGGTGAGGATGTGGAGAAATCAGAACCCTCATATATTGGTGGCAATGTAAAATGAAATAGCACCTTTGGAAAACAGTTTGGCAGTTTTGCAAGAAGTTAAACGTTGAGTTACTATTTGATCCAGCAATTCCACCCCTAGGCATATATGTCTAAGAGAAATGAAAATATATATCCACCCCCAAAAATGAATGTTCATAGCAGCATTGTTCATGATAGGCACAAAGTGTAAACAACCCAAATGTCCATCAACAGATGAATAGATAAACACAATGTGACATATCAATATAATGGAATATTATTCAGCCACAAAAAGGAGTAACATAAGGATACATGTTACAACGTGGATGAACCTTAAAAATATTATGTTAGCTGAACAAAGCAAGTAACAAAAGGCCACATATTATAGGATCCCACTTATAAGAAATGTTCAGAATAGGAATATCTATAAAGACAGAGAGTGGATTATTGGTTGCTTTGGGTGGGGTTGGGGTAGTGATCGTTAATGGCTACCAGGTTTTTTTGGGGGGTGATGAAAATATTGTGAACATTAGATTGTGGTGAACTTGATTATGAATATACTAAAACCCATTTCATTGTGCACTTTAAACTGGTGAAATTTATGGTGTGTGAATTATATCTCAATAAATAAATTTTAAAAACTAAAAAAAAGAAACCCATCCCTTAGGGCTGATGGGAGACGGAGAGGTCATACTGGATGGCCCCCAGAGCCTGGCTCCTCATGATCGAGGGTCCACTGTGGCTCTCTAAGAGCCAGTCTAAGCTGGAGGGTGGTGGCTACACTCTTCCCAGGCTCAAGCCCTGGAATCTGGAGGGAAGAAAGGAACTCTTGGACCTGCACTGGCTTTGCTGCCAAGAGGTAGCTTGGTGGTGTTTCCTCAGTGCTTCCTTACTCTGGGACTTTCTTGAAGGGCACTCACACACAGTGTGAGGCCCCCACAGTGATGGGGACGTGCACTCACACCGACCTGGGTGATTTGTGATCTGAACAGCACTTTCCCCATCGTTTTCGGTGGAGTCATTGCACCAGTCCTGAGAGAAGTGCTGTTATTCCCACGTAAGAGGGGAACCTGAGACCAGAGAGATGAAGAAGGTTGGCCAAGTTCGGTCAGCATGTTAGGAGCAGAGCCAATGATCCCAGCCCAGTGTCCCGTGTCCAGGAAGGAGGAACCTCTGTTCCATGTCTACACAACGTCTGGTCCACTTTCTGCTGAGACAGGGAAAAGGGCAGGATAGGGTCGGCCCTTCTGGTCTTTGTTTCTCATCAGGGATAAGGGTCATCACAACATCTTTACGGAGATAACAGTGCATAGGGATGTGGCTGCGGAGTGTCTTGGGCTGAGAATCAAATGGTGACACGTGGTGCTCATCTGCTCATCAGGAGGTGTTCATTGCCACTTTCTTGTCAGGTCTACTGACAGAGGTGAGGGCTCCAGGCTGTTTAGTGATCTCACCCCAGCTTTGCTGCTATTGTTGTTGTTGGCAGCAATAGCGTGTTTGAGAGCTTTACTTTGCTAAGTTAGGGAAGATCATAGTTGTTGAGCTTCTAATGCGTAGTCAGCAAACTCTCGCTTAACTGATGATGGATACCAGGGAGCCCAGATGTCTCAGGAGGGCAGGCACATCGTATCCCTTGGAGCTCCCAACGTGCGCCTCCCCTCTAGGACCCAGCCCAGACAATGCTCTACTCCTTGGGTTTACAGAAGTGTTTATTAAACAGCTCTGATAATACACTTCGGCGTTTGCTTCTTGTGACCTGGTCATCCGTCCCCACTCTGCTGACTTGGGCTCTGAGAACAGAGCAGAAGCGTTGGGTTCCCCAGAAGCCTGCCATGCCTGTGCTGTGTGGGTGTCTGCATGTGACATTCCCCTTCTGCATGTGACAGGTGTAGGAGCCCTGGCTCCTCTCCACATGGGCTTCTTTTGTGCACAGGGGGCCTGCCTGGGACACCTGGCCCATTAGGAATTGGGTGCCATTCCCATCTACCAATACCCGCATTCTGTTGTTCACTCTCCCCTGACTGTGGACCCTCAGATTCTGAAGCTCTTCCTTGGTGGCAGCTCAGGAGCTCTGCTGCTTCCATCCTTGAGGACTCATGGGAACATATTTATTTGTTTGTTCTCACTTGGTTTTACCGGAGAACTGGGTTATTGCGGGGAGAGGGCTGCTCATTTGGGACACCTGTTGAGTTTGGGCACCAGACTGATCATGCGGCTAGCCCTTATTCCCATGTTTGCGAAGTAACTCCTAGGGAATGTTGAAAAGTGCACAGGAATGAACACATGTTTCTTATCTAGGCCTTAAAGCATGTGTTCTAAGGGTTGCTCTGCAGAACCTGGGTGCTTGCGCGCGCGCGCACGTGCACGCGCACGCACACACACACACACACACACACACACACACACACACACACACACAC